TGTTTCTTAGTCCTTAAAAACAGGCGTCTTATCTTTTTACCCCAAAAAAAGTGTACAATTTCTAAAACTTTCTTAAGTTCGATACTAAAATACTTTGATAAAACTTACTATTTAGCATCAATAAATCCCGTTTTCGACGGGCTTTCATCTGGTATAAAATTCATTACTTACCCTATTCGCAATTATAGCGTTACCCCCATGGAAAAACATTTTTACGCACCCTGTATCACTATTGCCTACTTCTCGCTAGAAACAAATATCGTCTTCCTCAAGAAATATTATCTTCTGGCTCATTCCCATGTCTTGTACTTCTTCCTATTACTCTCGCCGACAGATGTTATGGAAGCCTTTTGCTTTATATAACATAAACGAAATTATTTAAGTATAGCTCCAGTGGCCGAAATCTCGTTTATCAGAAGAGTCCTGTCATGAACCAATGCACATTGGGACTTCCAGATTCAGGCCAAAAAAATTGATCATAGACAACTGAGATAATATTTCAAACCTACAAGCTTTTTTGTTATTAACTATTCCTTGTCGAGTTACAGATGATTTAAAACAGAAGTCTTAGTTTTCCATGAGACTATTTTATCTTTGTATAGCTATATTATTGATTTTGTAATGGAGAAAAAACTCTACAAAAAAGGACTCATACCTGTGGCTTATTAGTAGATTATAAATATGGTATTAGTTTTATTTAGAAGCAGAAAATGAGTGAAAAAATTGATTTTTATTGGCTTTAGATTAAGAAAGTACGAACCAAAAGAAAGAAGACGCATGTTTTTAAGGACTAAGAAACAAAATTTTCAATGTATTTTGCATGAAATCTAGTTCACAATCTCCGCCAGTTTTTAAGCACAAAACTGGGATTAAGAAAAATTGTTTCGGCTGATAACACCCATTTTTCAGAAAAACTGATCGACTTTGAAAGTTGTAGTTTCAACGAAGTGGTTCTAACAAAATAGGAAGCAGTAACAGATGTAGTTTTTCATTGTGCATCTAACCATATATTTTTTGAGTTAGGTGAATGTTCACTAAAAACTGGCTGAGTCCTTTGGACTCGACTAGACCCTGCTTTGTCAATACAGTGAAACGAAACAGAGAGGTGACAGAGAGGTGAAAATGACAAAGACCGCATACATACTACAATCAAACTCTCCATCAAAAATAAAATCTGTTGGTATGCACATTCCATTTCGACATCGATATTCTTTGCTATTACAGATGTTAAATTCCAATTTATCGCAATCTTTTTCATCCGATGCATCTTCACATTGTGGAATACCGTCGCATATATTTCGCCAATCAATACAGACTCTTACATTATCACATTTGACATCATCGTAACAGATTGGAACAGAATAAAATCGATCCTGTGGTTTAATGCTTAATTGTTGATGTAATACATTTTCTGGAGTGCCTTCTGGTGGTAATTGATACTCACATGATGCACCAATGTAACGTGTTGAACATTGACATATAATATTATCTGTTTCATTAGTAGATGATTTACTATACTTTGCATAACTTTGAATGATGTGTAATGGTATAGACAACTTATCAAGTAAATAACGTTCTGAATCATTCATGTGGATTAGATCAGAATAATGCCATATCTTTTCCACATTATTTGAACAATTTGCAACTGTTATTGAATTTCGACAATAATCAACATTTTCGATCTTAAAACAGTCTAAATGATTCTCACCTTCCCTTGAGTAGAGTAACCATCCGTTGTACCCATCACCAATAGAAGAGATACAAAGGATAACAACTAATACAAACGGCATTAATAATGCCCTATACAAAGAAAAACTGTTACTAAACGATTCTTATGCTGTCTGGTTGCAAAAATGCAGAGCAAAAAAGCGCCTATTATGTAAATGATTGATAGTTACTGATACGTGATTTTTATGAACTTTTGTGAAGAAAAAAAGAAATTACTGTTGTGGCAAACATGGATGCTGATCGTGACATTTTTTCGATAGAAAAATTACTTTTTCTTTATCATTTCTGAAGGTCATACTCAATTTCCATCTAAATTCTTGCTTGCTCGATACTTTGGTCACACGTTAAATCGCCTTTCGGTGTCACGGTCCAGCACACACTGAATTCCTGTTTCATCGAAAGCTTAATTAATATCCCTGTTTCGTCGAAAAATAAAACTAGAACTACAATATAGATTATTCCAATTAATAAAGCTTTTTTAAATAGACTAATTACAAAAAGAATGCTGAATTATTCGAAATGATTCTACTGGAAAAGTACATGCGTACATTATTAGAGAAAGATATATCTCTATAAATTCTTTTACCGGTTGTGTGATTCTTCAATACGCCGTTTTAAATTCATTTTAAATTCTTCAACTTTACATTTATTTTCATCACCACTGTGATTGTGCGGTTTCTTCATACTTGGGGGATTCGGTCTATATTGTATAGCACGCCCAGGACACGAACGGTCTTGACATTTCCAATAAACAGTAGTATTCACAATTTTGTCTTGGGTGTAACGAAAAGTATCAAGTAATAAAAAAGGGTTCTTACGTTTACTTTCAACAATAGATAACATGAAATACAGTGCAAGATATATCAGAGAAATCATTATGTTAAAGTTTAATACAAATAGAATTAATTGATTAATTTCCGTTTCTAACTGCATGTATCTATGTCGGAGTTGAGATTGAAATCTAGGGTGTACTTTAACTGATCTCCAGTGAGAATAGAATTCTAATTTCAACTGGTTGAGGTTGGAATTCTAACGTCAACTAGTTGTGATACGAATGGTGCCTAACTGAACTAGTTGAAGTTAGAATTCTAAACCAAACTGGATGATGAAACGGGACCCGGACATTTGCATATTTCAAAAGACCTGAAATCAGTATAAAACTGACAAGCTTGTATAAATGTGATTCGAGGTAAATTAACAACATTCAAGGCGCGAAGCTCAGCAAAACTCGGACTACTAAGGTTATAGAAAACTATTAATAACTATTAATTATACTTTGCACATTTATTTAGATGAAGATCGAAATATAACACTCAAGTTTATTATGAAAGTCTTGCATTGTGCAAAATAAATTGAATTAAAAACGGCTGTGATGTGGCACGATATGCTTTATGCAAAAGAAAATTGATACTGTACTGTACAATTTCTATATCACTAGAAGCAAAATCTTTCACTTTCTTTTTCTCTGCACATCATATTTTTTTCTTCTTGCTTTCCTATGCAATTTCTTAGCATGAATTTAAATTCTGAACTCAACTAGTCCAGTTTGTCAGTTCACATTGGAATTCTGATCTCGTCCAGTTTGGTTTAGAATTCTAACTTCAACTCAGTTAGGCACCATTTGTATCACAACTAGTTGACGTTAGAATTCCAATCTCAACCAGTTGAAATTAGAATTCTATTCTCACCTCAGCGAATTTCAAATTCCTCTAGATACCAATCCTAACTCCGACATATATACTTCATTTAGAATGATTCAGTATTCTTTTTAATTAGTCTGTTTAGAAAAACCGTATTAATTAGAATAACCTACCGATCCAGTTGTCTCAGTTTGAGATAAGCGTTGTCCCAGTTTGAGATAAGCGTCTGTGTTTGTACAAATAACAAAAAAGGTAGTTGCGTTGAAAAATCGAATGTTTCTCATTCGTTTAAAAAATGAGTTTTTTTAACGTTTTTCGAGGTTTTTGTAAGTATTTTTAATTACTTACAAAAACTTACTTAGTAAAAGTGACTTAACAACTTTTCAACGCTCACAGGTTTGTACAGCTCGACGAGCTCTATCGAACTATGTAAAGATGTTCAAGAAAAAATGTTTATTCTTCATTGGAATGATTGGCGTCTTATCTTTCTACCCCAAAAAAGTGTACAATTTCTAAAACTTTCTTAAGTTCGACACTAAAATGCTTTGATAAAACTTACTATTTAGCATCAATAAATCCCGTTTTCGACGGGCTTTCATCTGGTATAAAATTCATTACTTACCCTATTCGCAATTATAGCGTTACCCCCCTGGAAAAACATTTTTACGCACTCTGTACATTGTCTGGTTTCTGAGATGTAGGACCGCCAATATCACTTGTAGTTCGTGGGAAAATAGAATTTTTATTTCTTATTGAGTAGTTAGACCAGTTTTCGATAGGTTCCATCAAGACTTTCCGGTTTTCTCTTCTGGTCATGGTAGGGTATGGCCGAGTATCGTTTTCTCTGTAGTTTGGATTTTTCCGCATGTTGAAGAAAACATAAATTCTGCAGAGCTAAACTATTTTCAGTAAAATCTTTTTCGGGATTTACAAATTTATCAGCCACTGTGTCGTCAGAGCTAAGGCTGAACAGCTTTTGATCTGTTTGCATAAGGGAGCTGCAAAAGCAATTAGTGAAAGTAATGGTATGTGCTTCTCGAGTATGCCTGTTTTTCGAGGATATATGATGGAATTTGCACCTTGTATCCATTTGTAATTTACATTCATGATCCATATGTCACAAACAATTGTTCAACTTCATGAAGGGAAAGAGAAACAGATCAGTGGTTAAGATGATGTGTACGAGAGATCAACGTTTCATGACCTAGAATTCCATTTTGACTAACGTTTTTCCATTATAGATAACCTTAATATTATTTCGTCATAGTGAAAATACTTTTACATTATTGACGGAATTTATTATGAAAAGAATTCTTTGATAAAGTACATGAATTTCCAGTCCTACATCTCAGAAACCAGATAATGTATATTTCTGAAAAACAGCTTGTCACGTTGTCGAACATTTTCTTTTTCAGATAGAATGAAAAGTAGAAATGGCTACTCTCTAATTCATTTCTACCTAACTCATTAAGTTGAGCGATTTTGCATTAAACTCAAAATAAGCGCCATTTTTCTTCTGTAGAAGAGTAGATCAACGTTTGGACTAAACAATAAAATTTGTTCTGTTCCATTGTTCTGTTTCATTTCCAGAGAACGAAATTGATTCCATTTTGTAACCATAGCAGACTTTTCTCTTTCTTTCTCTTTCTGCAAAATACGAGAAAAAGAAAGAAGAGAGAATGATTGACGTATATCTACGCGTAGAATATAGTCTATGTCTACGTTCTACGCATTTCATTATTTTTGACGGCTTCCCTTAGTCAAGCTCACAACACACTTTTCAAAATATTCTAAAAGTATGTTAAATTAGTCATGATGATCGTGTAATTAGACTATTTATGCTTATATGTGCATCTTTGTGTAAAGCAAGGAGTTTTGTGGTGAAAAATTGCTAACGCATATAGTACAATGTTCGGGGAATCGTCGATAAATCAAAGTTCTTGCGTAATGGTTTCAATGCTGTTACGAACGCCTTCGATAAAGTTTTACTATCAAACTAGTAATGAATCAGTTCGTCAGGAAAAGGAAGCGTAGCTAGTACCAAATTCGGCTAAACAGAAAAGTATAGCGATTTGTTGTGACGTTAGCAAGGCTAACTGGAGAAATCAATTTAAACATGACTGTAGAAACTCAGCGACTTTTTGGAAATCTGCTGTCTAACCGATTCAGTCTGATCTGATTTTTTAATCAAGAATGTTCTTTATCAAGCTCATCTGAGATACATCTGAGCCGGTAAAAGAAGACCAAATTTTGTCGATGATAAGCTAACGGTGATGCATTTACGTATGTTTTTTCACAACTTGAATATGATGATAAAGTAGCATGTTCGAATGTATGGCCATGGCGAAGTGATAGATATTTGATTGGTCACCTCTAGTTCGTTTTCTATGATTGATGTCACCATGTTTTCCTCAGCCTTTTCTTCGAGAACATGGCGCAATCAATTTTCTATATTTTCGTGAACAATCTCATCACGCTACAATCTCTATCCAAAAAGTAAATGTTCGTGTGCACAAAATATAAAAATATTTCTTGTCACTTCTTTTGTAAACAGTGCCTTCGTGAATTTGATATGCTAACGATGTCTTATTTAAACAAGTGTATTCTTTTTGAAATGAAATATCCGTTCTTTGCACTACTTCCAATTCAAGTTTATTGAGCTGAACTAGCAGTGGTACAACGGTTTACGTTCATAGGAAAGCTGATCAGCTCTAGTGCCTCCGAACCCGAGGCTGTCTGAGTGAGTATCCTCTAAATAAATGCACATGAGATATGTTTTTAAATGTTATTTGTTCTAATACTACTGAAGCGTTTAACCAGAAAGTTGTCATGGTAAACGTTCTTCAAATCCTTTCAGACGAAGTTCATAGTGCAACTGGATCTTTATTTCACTCAGTTGATTTAATGAGGCAGATTTTATTTTGTTTTGAAAATACTCAGAATTTAAGATTTATTTTAGAGCACATGCTGAACTTTCTTTATAATCCACGGTTATTAATTTTGTAAATTTAGTGTTAGATCGGTTGTACGTTATAACAGTAGTGCGAATCGGCACTAACATATTGCATGGAACAGACGCAGATAGTCATCTGATTTTATGTTTTTACACTCAGATAAATATTTAGTCTGGTTTGAATATTATCTGAAGAACAAAAAAAATTTTTTTATATTATCAGACGTGTAATTCGAACAGTAAAACAATATATTGAAAAATATATGAATAATCGTCATCGTGCTCTCAAACAGGAAAGTATTTATGAAGAAAAATACTATGAGGATTGAAATATCTGCGTAGAAACGTAAGAGAAAATTCTTTTTACCATTGTCAATAAAAACCGAAGGACGAATCATATATTTACTTTTCTTTTGTAAGCATGAAAAAAGAATATCTGACTATGTGATAGAGAAGGTTAGAAAAGATTAATGGCGTCGCAGCATACTTCAGCACGTGAGTTTTTTACGCACGCTAACCAACAGTGTTTGTTAGACTAAACAATAACGTCATGTTTTGATGTAAATAATACTGTGTCAGTTTCCAGATTCCTACAAGTGAGAGAGTCTTGGCTACAAATTACCCACTGTGTACAACTTGTGACAAAATGCAACTTTTTAAAAAACTAGTTTAGAGACTTTTTATGATTATTTTTCCTACTTTACTAAAAAAGGGATAGGAAACATTTGTCAGGAAAACGTCATAAGACCCTCTTGAGCGAAAATTCAATCAATTCTTTTAGTTGGAATCCAAAAGTGTCTGTCAGTTTGAATCTGATATTGTTTCCTGCGATGCTTGTCAGATCAACCCGCCCATTTTTTTGCCCTTTTTCAAAACATCATTGCAATAAAGCTGCAGACTAATCTAAAACTGCAGATAATTAAGTAGCGTGACACGACTATTCCGTGAACCACGATTGTCTCTTCCGCGAACCGACTCTTCCACGAATTTTTCTTAAAACAAACTTAGGTATTTCTGGCGGTGGGGAGGAGAGGGGTGAGGCCAGTGTGTGAGTGAGTTCGAAAAGTAGTTTCACATAAAAGATATTTGCT